AGCTTTTGTGTTTCTTCTCTGTTTTTCTCTAAGGCTTTCCACACTCAAGACACTGTTAAAAATTCTCACATGTTTACTTCTCTCTCTTTTTTTTTTTAACCAACCATAAAGTTTCATGAGCACCTTCCATCTTCCTATGACTTGAAGATTGCCAGAAGGAAAAAAAGGAGAGCTGAAGACCATCCAGGTTAATGTGTAGCTTAAACTTGAAAAAAAAATTAAGTCAAGGCAGGTCATCAGTTCCAAAGGTTGCCTTCCTTCTAGAGGAGTAGCTCCTTCCTTCGTCTCTAGTTCTGCCCCATTCTTAGGGTAGGAACAGATCTAAGGCCTTAGTAGGAGAGAACAACATCCATCAAGGGCTAAAAAATGCTCTGGTGAACTCATGTCGTTTTGATGCTCAGATAGAAGTCAGACTGGGCAGAAGAGGAGCACCATAAAGATCCAGGTGATTTGGAATTTGGGGGTTAAAAAAGGCAAGCAGAAAACTGAGAGGTGTTATTGCAGTCACTGCTAAAATGGGACGTGATTCAGTTTGTTTATCTAATTCAGTGCTGAGTGAGTATTCATTGGACTCTGCATATACTTGTGCCACGTATTTCATTACACTTTGGATATAAGTTTGAATAAAATTATTATAAGATTTGTTATTTGCTTTAGTTTTGAGACCATGTTTGAACTTGCAAGTAGTTTGCAAGTTCAATTATCACTCGATTTGCTGCATAAACAGAATTGGGCAGTGTTAGGAAAGAATCCTGAGACACTGCATGAGACCACGTGTCTGCCTTTTGTCTTCTGCAATTTGTGACTGTTGCACACATCAACACTTGAAAAACTATGTCTCTGCAAAAGAGGCCCCTTCCGTGTTGCTAGGAAACCCAGTAACTGTTTTGTGTGATCTTGAGATTTTAATTCATTTCTAGTGCAACACAATGAAGAGCAGTTGAATGTTTTAAACACTTTTTGGAAGAGAAATACTGACAGCCATTTAAAAGTCTGTTTAAAATTTCTTTAGTATACGTATTAAGAAAATCTCAGTATAAAGCAGAAATGGGCAATCACCTTTCTTAAAATCTCAGTTCTTAAAAATAACTGCTAACAATTTGATATATAACTTTCCAGATTTTATACACATTTAAATGTTTTCTATGGTACTCTTTTAAGAGAAAAGTAATTTTTATATATCAAACAAGAAAGAATGAAGGATACTCTCATAAAGACTAAGTTGCGTTTTATTCTGAGTTTGTGTAGTATAAGTACTGAGAGCATGAATTAGGAGGATTTGAATTTCTACCCATTTAGATATCTAATGGATGTCATTTAACATTTTTATTTGATTTTTATAAAATAAAAATTCTAGAAGCACAGAGCATCCAGGAAGTTTTAACTGTTTTTTATGACAAATTTTTCCTCTCACTTATATATTCTTGCCTCCATATTTTGGTGCTGTGTCTTGATTCATTTTGAAGTGAAATTTTCATTCTGGAGTGTGCTTAGATTGTTCTTATCTTACTTCATACATAAAGTATTAATACCCAAACAAATTAAATGCAGGCAACAAATTGTAGTAGCTATAGAAAGGAGATCTTTAAGTAGCAGGAACTTCTTCTGGCAGATGAATGCTCTTTCTCAACATTTCTAAAATTGATCAAAGTTATAATCCAGTCACCAGTTCTTTTCTACTACTGTGCAAGGAACCACAACAGGAGATAGAGGGACCGACAATTTCTCGCAGCCCTGGTGGTGGTAACAATAGAATGGGAAATCAGGACATGTAGTTTAAAAATTCACTTAAAAATACAAGGTAGTAGGGAAGTAAGCTTGTCAACATCTAGAAGACATGACAAAACCATGGAGCCTGCCTAAGTAACTTCCCAGTAAAGTTTATGAAGGAAAAAAGACCCAAGCTAGTATATGCTAAGTGCCAAATGCTGATAGGGATAGCAGACAGTGAAGTACTGTCAGCATTCCTGGGAGGATGGAAAGCAAAGTCCCTGCAGGCTAGAGAGGTAGAAGAATGCCTCAGGGAATGAGGTAGGAATGGGCCTGAGTTTATTAGAAATGAGAGCGAGTGTTTATTTGGAGGATTGACTGTTAATTCAGGAGAAGCACTTGAGATTGTACACATAAATATCAAATCATATAATTTTAAATAGAAATGTGGACATGAAATGGAGACTGGAGTAGTATGGACTTTTTTGGGGAGTTTAAGTGATCTGTTTCGGCTGGATCAGTGGGTTTGCATGGTGGATCATAAATCTTTGCTGTGTAACAAACCAACCGAAACTTTAGAGGTGTTAAACAAAAATCATGTGTTAGTTCATGATCCTGTGGGTTGTCACTTTGGGCCAGGCGGAGGTGGGAAGTTCTTGGCTCACTCATGGGGCTGCAGACCGCTGGTCTGGACTGGGGCGGGTGTTCTAGGGTGGCTGCATGCTGGGCAGTTGCAGCTGTGGGTCATACACCTCAGTTCTCTCTTATGTCGTTTGTCCACATGGTGGCAGGTGGCAGGGGTTGGAGAGGGTGAGAGGGAGCGAGGGAGCAGCAAGGCCCCTTGAGGCCTGACCTCGGAACTCGCGCGGCAGCACTCGTGCTACATTCTCTTGTTAAGGCAGGGACAGTCTCACTTTTAAGGGGAGAGGTGCAGAGAACCCGTGTCCAGTTTTAATTTGCTGTTTGAGGAGTGCACTTAAATGTGATAAAAGCTCAGGATGGTGCCTGAATATCAATGGTCTTGAATGTAATCTGGCTTTTCTTTCCTTCTCGATTGTTGGCTTCAACTTGGTTAACATTTTATGACAAATGATAGTCCATGTGTGTAAACTTGTTTTAGGGTTCCTGGAAAGGGTCATGGGATGGCTGATAATTAATTCTTTGTTTTGTTTTGTTCTGTTGGAATGTATTATAGGAAAAACAGCATCAAAGTAGTCATTATGGAGAATTAGGACTTGGATTTACTGACTCTTAATTTTGCCCTAGTGTGTTTGTTTTTATGGTGGAAGCAGGGGCAGGGAAGGGGAGGGAAGCAGGCCCCATGTACCATAATCTTCGTGCTCAGGGCCTCTGCCGGATCATCCTCCAGCCCTGCAAGTCAGTGTTGGGTGATGTAGAGGTCCAAGTGGTAGAGCTGCTGAAATTTGCTGTTTATTTGAAACTGGGGTTCTGCATACGTTAGGTATTTGAATTTGTATGTAAGAAAATGTTGGGTTGTCATAAGGAAAACATAGATGTGACAAACTAGTGCCTTGCAAACTTTTATAGTGTAAATAGTAAAAAAATTAAGTTTTGTGTGATGGTTCATTTGCAGACTAAATTTGCATTTTCTATTGAGTAATTAACTGGCTTGTTCAAACTTCAATCTTATTATAAGACATACGTAGTGAACAGATCTATTTTATATGTGAATTGAAATGAATAAAATTGCTTTTTTTTTTTTTAAAGAAAAACAAGATGTGAATTGACTAAACTTGGTATTTTTTCTCTTTATATAGATCAAGAAATCATGCCATTTTGCTCATAGTTTATTTCCACCTTTTATGCATATAAAAGATAATAGTTTTGTGTAAACCATTAGCAGCAAAGAGGAGACTTTTTTTCAGTTCTTATAGAGTTGTAGTGGGTTTAAGCCACCTCTCGTTAACAAACTCCATCCGAAGAGTCTCTTGGAATTTTGTTTGTTTGGGGCTTAGGACATCTTATTTTGGCTTTTACGTATTTTTCAAATATTGCCATTCAGCATTAATTCTCTCTTTAAGTGTGATATAAATGGAAGTTTTATAGAATATGAATTTGAGAATAAGTTATGGAATTTTAAGATGTCTTTTAAAAATAATAAATATGACTGACTTTTTCAGAAGGGAAATAGGATGGGATGAATAGTAAGAAATGTCTTAAAGATACTATTGAGGTAACTATTTGATAAATTTAAAAATATATGAATTGACAGAGTTGCCTTTGTTTTTGAATTGTCATCAAAATTTATTGCTTAGAAATATTTTTTTAAACAATTTCTTCTTTTTCCCCCCAGTTTTACTGAGATATAATTGACATACAGCACTGTATAAAGTTTCGGGTGAACAGCGTAATGATTTGACTTACATATATTGTGAAATAATCACCACCATAAGTTTAGTTAACATCCATTATCTCATATGGGCACAAAAGAAAAAGAAAAAAAATTGTTTTCCCTTGTGATGAGAACTCTTTGGATGTACTTTCTTAGCTTAGAAATATTTTTAAGCATTCAATGAAACTCCCAGAATCAGATTTTTAATAAAGATTTAGAATTGAGGAAGTTTTGGCAGAAAACGTGTCAGAATTCATCAGCATGTGCCCCAGCGACAAAGAATTCCCCCTGTGTTTGTGGCACCGTGGCAAGCATGAATTAATATAGCCTTGAACTAGTATGCCAGCTGACCTTACAGAGACTCTAGCTAAATTCAGTTTTGTGTGTGTGTGTGTGTGTGTGTAAGATCAGCCCTGAGCTAACATCCATGCCAATCCTTCCTCTTTTTGCTGAAGAAGACTGGCGCTGGGCTAACATCTGTGCCCATCTTCCTCCACTTTACGTGGGACGCCGCCACAGCATGGCCTGACAAGCGGTGCATTGGTAAGCGCCCAGGAGCCGAACCCGGGCCGCCAGCAGCGGAGCATGCGCACTTAACCGCTACACCATGGGGCCGGCCCCAAGCTAAATTCACTTTTAAACATCTGCTTGGATATAAAAACACCCTCTGCTAATAGAAACTTACATAAAGTTGGGAGGTTCACAGTGCTCTTAAAGGAAATTGTATCAAATAAGATAGATATTAATATTGTTATTCCATTTTTACAGAGCACAAACTAAAAACTGGGCATGATTGAGTTGGAACTGCATTACCTTGGTCCCAAATCACATCCTGTTTCCATTGCATCCTGTGCACCTTCTCTGAATGGCTGGATGCGCTGACCGTGCTGCACCCTAACAGCAGATGCTCAGTCCGTGTACATGTTTCTTTCTCCAGATTTCACCAGAAGTTTGAGTATTACTACTCCTGACCAGATGATTGAGAAGGCCAAAGGGGAAACTGCCTATTTGCCGTGCAAATTTACTGTTGGTTCAGAAGACCAGGGACCGCTGGACATCGAGTGGCTACTATCCCCAGCTGATAATCAGAAGGTGGATCAAGTGGTAAGTTTGCTAAGTACTTGCTCACTCAGCAAGTGTCTGTGGAACCTGTCTTAGGTGTCCGTCCCTGTGCTGATCACACTGCTGGGGGAGCAGAGGGAGCTGTGAAGAAAGCCGCAGACTCCTCCAGCTTATGGTCTAGGTGAGGGAGGCAGTCGCTCTGGTGGAAAGTGAGGACACATGTGTAATGGAATGAAATGGATAATAAGTGACCTAAGATTTCAGAGGAAGAGAAGGTCACTAGACTTAGAGAAGGCTGCAAGGAGGAAGAACTTGTGAACGTTCCGAAAATCTGGATTTGGAAGTATATTCAAGACAGGGAGTAGTGGAGGGGTATGTGGAGCAGGCACGGTTGTGTGACAGGAATGTGTACAGTGTGTTAGGGGATGGTGAGTTGACTTGGTGAAAAGTTAGATCGAATTGAATTTTTAAGTTTTACACAACCAAGGATTCTGTTATCAGTGTAAAGGTCATCAAGTGTAACATAATGTAACGTGGGTACATATTATTAGAGTCTATTTTCCATATTTCTTCAAGTTAAATATCTTGTACAGTGAATTTCTTAAAAAGCAAAACAGTCTTTATAGCAAAACAACAATTTATAAAACGTTCAATCTTAAATTTTAAAAAATTATCGAAATATTGTTATAAGATTTTTTTCTAATTACAAAATAATAAGAGCCTAATGTAGAAAACTAGAAAGCCAAAAGTAGCACGAAGAAGAAAAGTTGCCCGGTAATCTCATCTCTAAATACATATATTACACTTTGCCTTTTAATGGTACCAGAATATTTCGCTTAATTTACAGTGTTGCATACTAGCTTCATCTGACACATTTAATTTTTAAAAAATCAATGTTAATAAATTATATTAGACCAGAGAAAGAAAAGTCCAAATATTTAGAAGAATATGGTAATATATATATTAGGAAGAGAAATTTTAATTTTACTTATGGTCCATATAAAAGAAGGGGTTAATGGCTGAATCATTGCAGTTAGGTAATTACTATTTTTGCTAAATCTGGGCAGTTTTCCCATGATATATCTGTTAAAGGAAATAACTAAGGTGCTTTCCCAAGTTGAATGACTAAGGCCACCCCCTCCAAGGACATGCCACTGCCCTGATTCTGCTACTGGAACTTGGTTCTGTCTCCCTAAGCCGGATAAATTGAGCCTGACTCATTCTGTTTGCTCAGCCCAGATACCCCGTTCCCTCCATGCCCTGCTCTCCTTCCCCCTCTCTCTCCATGGCAGTGCTGGCACCCTGAACACGGCTCTGCCTGAGTCCTGCATACCCCTCATGCCCCTGCCAGTGCACTGCCCTCTCCCCTCAGAGTCCAGGACTCTGCTCCCATGGTTGAGATGAATGAATGGAGAGCACGGGTCTTAAATGCTTCTGCCTTAGACTCGTGAGTGAAGCCCTGTGACAAGGTGCGTCTGGAGACCAAGAAGCACAGCGTGTGCTGTAGCCTTGTGTGTCTGTTCATGGAAGAGGGCCCAGAGTCTTCTGTGCTGAGTGAGAGGCACAGCCTTGCTGCCTCCAGGACTTGTGAGACAAGTGTGAAAGCAGGGACTGGGTGAAGTGTCCATTTCTGGATTAAAAACCTAGCCTCTGACTTAACACACAGTAAAATCAGACCAAAAGAAAGAAGTGTTAGAGAGAAATTGGTCAGAAGAGGATGCTTGTATAGAATTTCAGCTACATTCTATGTTAGCTGAGCCCTTATTTTAATATATTTAAGCTAGCAGCTGGTGTGGTCTCCAGCTGGCTGGAGAAATTTCCATCCTTATTCTCTGTGATCTGTTTAGTCAGCAAACAGTTACAATATACTACATACTTTCTATGTGCTGGGCAGTGTTTTATATACTTTAATTATATATGCTTATTTAAGCCTTAAAACAACACCTTAACTTGAGAATTATTATACACGTGAAGAAGAGGAAATGGAGGCCCAGAGATTTGAAGAAACATGCCCGGGGTCACACAGCTGGGGTTTGAACCCAGGGCTCTCTGACTGCCCTCCTGCACTTGATTATCTTTTGCACTCTCCTGTACTGCCTCCATGTTTCATTTTTTTGGCTTTTCGCAACAAGGGAGTCAGTAGTTAAATGCAGAGGAAGATATGGCAGCCTCATTTGAGGAGTTCTCAGTGTTGCTGTTGACAAGTGGGTGTGGCAAGAAGATGTAGCAAATAAAGTAATGGCTTGTGTTTACAGAGTAAGTCAGCTGTGGACCTTCAACTGCTTCTTTTATTTACTTAGCAAACTTATATTGAGTGCATCCTAGAGGCAGACGTTTACTGTATAAATAAAAAGTGTTTAGTGGATTAGGAGTGGGGTCAGCATGGAAGGAGAGGTGATAACACAGAAAAGAACCCAAGTCTCTGCTGTCGAGAAATTCCTGCAGATGACACACTTATTCTGATTTGCTGTCCATAATTAACATCACAGATAGATAATTACCTGCAGGATTTAGATTCTAGTCGTGTTTTCTGATTATTATTTGAGTTTGGCACCACTTCTCTTTGGCCTCTGGGTCTCAGATGACCAGAATGAAGGATTTCATTAGCAAATGTGAAAAATTATGAAATATGTTCAATTATTTTAGTGATAGAGATGACTACTATAATTCTCTTCCAAGTCAAGTTTAACACAGAATTTATTTTCTCTCTAAATCTAGCCTTTAATTATTTCCATCAAAGCCTGTAACAGTGGCTCAGAAAACTTAGTGGAATTAGGAAGAGGTCTTTACTCTTAGTCACAGAAAATTAATTGAAAGGTTATGTTAACCTGGGCACATGTATCTTAAGAGGTTTATTTTATCTACAGTCATGCACTGCATAGCAGCGTTTCGGTCAGCATTAGAGTGCACATATGACAGTGGTCCCATAAGATTAGTACCGTAGAGCCTAGGTGTGTAGTAGGCTATACCGTCTAGGTTTGTGTAAGTACACTCTATGATGTTCACATAACAACCAAATCACCTTAACGATGCATTTCTCAGACTATATCCCCATCGTTAATTGACACATGACTGTATTAGAGTGTAGAACTCGAAAGTGCCTCCAAGTTAGTATTAAGACAAAAATGTTGTCTTTTTTGTTAGATTCCACAGGTAAGTTATCATAGGCCTTTTTGGGGGAGTGGTGGTGGTGGTATGTACAAATGTATAAAATGATTTTATACATTTGATTGGCATAACAGAGTGTATAGGAATTCACAAATCTGTGTTGTTGTCCAGTCTCACTCACTCACTGTCTAATATAGTGCTATATTACTTAATCATCTTGGGTCTTGTTTGTCCATTTAAAATGAGAATGTATGACCATAACCAAGGATCATATTGATCTCTTTCCGTTTTCTTAATCTGTGATTTGAATAACTGTAGGTTTTCTCATAATACTGTGTTCTTAACTCTTTTTTTGGATCCCACAGTACCGTGGAATATCCAGAGCTCCTTGAATGAGACAGAGGGTTCACTTGTTTGTCTGTTTTTTCCCTGCCTCATTTTGGTTTTCTTTTAGATTATTTTATATTCTGGAGACAAAATTTATGATGACTACTACCAAGATCTGAAAGGACGAGTACATTTTACAAGTAGTGATCTCCAGGCTGGTGATGCGTCAATAAATGTCACCAATTTACAGTTGTCGGATATTGGCACATATCAGTGCAAAGTGAAAAAAGCTCCTGGTGTGGCAAATAAGAAGATTCAGCTGACAGTTCTTGGTAAGTTATTTGTATTAATGTTGCTTATTATTGGGTGATTAGTCATAGTACTACAGTAGCGGCATTTATATGAGACTAAGCTTAGTGTTTTAGAGTACTAATTTTAAACATTTGAAGTAATTTTAACATCCTCAAACAACATAAAACAGAAAGCTGGCACACTTTTTTAAAAAATAAGAAGTGACCAGCTGCTTTGTGAAATTCATAAAAGAATTTGAAGGTAAACGAAGGAGTTTTGTGATATGGGAGAAGAACCCTAGGCCAGGAGTTAGGAGATCCAGGTTTTTTGCATTGTCTGTAGATTTGCCCTGAGAATTCAGTAGAACCTCTTCATTTCCTGGGCCTCAGCCTATCTTTTTGAAACATAAAAAGATTTAATTATCGTTAAATCTCTACCTGATCTCATTCAGTTCAAAGTTGTTTGTTATGGGCGCTTCAAGCTTTTTCAAACTGTGTTACTCAGAGTAAATGAGGTTTCTATGATGAATGATTGGAGTATTTGGAACAGAGAAGATGGAATATGGTAGAAGGGATGTTGAATTGGGATAAGGCCATGAAATGTCAGGTAATCCTTCCCTGAGCTTCACTGTTTTTCGTCCTTAAAGTTGAGGGGATTAGACAGATGGTCACTGGGATATTGTCTTGCTCTCTCTATGGTAATTAAGAAGGAGATAAGTGTAAATGGCTTTGTAAGCTGTCAAAGACCGAAAAGTTCATTATCCTTCTCGAGATTCTGTGGTCGTGCACAAGCAGTCTTAACCGCTTCAAAGCAGGAAACTCTGAAAGGTCATTGTTCATAAATATACTTTTAAATCTTATTGTGGTAGATGTTACACAGAAATGGCTGCCATGTAGAAAAAAACAACTATCTGGCTCTGTTTTATGATAAGAAATTCCCCTGTTTTGTGACTTAAGGTCTCCTGTTTTGGGGGACATTTGGGGACCCACTTTGTGTAGGAAATTCAGATTGCTAGTACTGCCTGTACCCCTGGAAATAACTAATCAAGGCAGGTCTCCCCCACATCAACTTCTACCTCATTCCTTTTGGTTTAGAAGGGGAGGATGGAGAAGTAATTAAATGTGTTGGTTTCCAGACTCATTTTGAACATCACTCTTTTCTAAAGAATGAATATCACAGCAGGTATAGACTAGGAACAAGAGTGTGGATTTTTGTGCATCCCAATGGCAACTTCAGGGGTTGTCTTGGTTGGTAAGGCAGTCTTCCACTGGCAGCGTTGTTGAGTGGGCTCACAAGAGAGTCCTGGTAAAAGGCACTCCATTTCTAAATGGCACTAGTTCAGAATGTTTCCTATGGTATAAAAGCAAGTGAACCTGAGCAAGGCATCAAGAAAAGGAATATCATCATGTTGGGAATTCTAGCTTTCTGTGTCTGCGTTCAGTAAACATGGAGTTACCTTTCTTTTTTATAAATATGAAAGCAGGTGTCGGGGTGGGGAAAATCCCCTTCTTCCCTTCTTGTGTTCTTGTGGCTGGATTGATAGTAAAATTGACACAAGACCAAGGTTAACAGGAGAAAAACCCAGTTTAATACATACGCATTGGAGACCAGAAAGAAATGATGCTCCGAGAGCGAACAGAACAGGCAGTATATATATCTTTGACACAAGCAAACAATAAATTTGTGAAGAATTGACAGGACAAGGAAACTTAGGTCTGGGGTACGTAATTATCAAGGTTTGCCTATTCAGATTTCTCGGCCTTCAAGAACATACAATGGAGAAAAGAAAGTCTCTTCAACAAATGGTGTTGGGAAAACTGGACAGCCACATGCAAACAAATGAAAGTAGACCCTTACCTTACACCATACACAAAAATTAACTCAAAATGGATTAAAGACTTGAATGTAAGACCTGAAACTATGAAACTTCTAGAAGAAAACATAGGAAGTACGCTC